GTTCACATTTAAATATGTGTATTTGGGCCTGTCACTGACATTTTATAGGCCTGCAGCTAGGATAGTTTCCTCGGGTGTGTCAGCTACTAACTGTTTGAATCATTTTATCCTTTTCATGCTCACTTGGTACAACAAGTAAAATTTACCAAACCACAGTCATTTTCCTTATTCAGCATGGAGTAAATAAAAAGTGTAATTTGTGTGTGTGCATGTGTAAAAGAAAGTAAACATATGATCATAATGGAAAAGATCATAAAAATTATCTCGTATACTCATTTTACCAAAAATAAATAGAAAATACCATTCCTATTTCAAAAAATTATTGATCCTTGTTTTAAAAACAGCAGACTTTCTTAGCACAGTCAAGAGAATTAATTGAAGCTAACAAATAGAGCTTTTGAGTTTGAGTATAAAACACTAATAGACTCTTTTTTTGTTTCACAGAAACTTATGCACAAAGTTAAAGCCAGTAACTCATCCAGAGAAAAGAAAGTGCTCTTCAGTTTCCAATTCTATTGTTGCTGGAAAACATCCAAAAGTGATTCAGTTTGATAATTGTGCAAAGACAGAAAACAGAATTCTCAAGCATGTAAAATCTTTAAAACAACAACATTTTGGAGAAAGCATCAGGTTAAACTCTGATGATACACTCTGGTTGCCAGTTGTAAGTAATGGAAATCCATTGGCCAGAAGAACACCTAAATACATCAATGAAAATGTAATGAAGCCAGACAAGTGCTTTAGAGCAAAACAGTTATCCAAATCAGATGTGTTTAAAAGCCATACAAGTATTCCAATAATAGAAATAAGTTCTGATGATTGTGAGTCTCCAGATAAACTAAACAAGTGTAAGAATGGCTCTTTTAAAGTTCAGTCAGAAACATGTGCTGGTGAATCCTCTTTTAACTTTGTTTGTTCTTCAAAGTCAAGATATCAAACCCAAAAGGTTATTTGCCATTCCCGTCAAAAAAATAATTGTGTCTCAAAAAGTACCCCAAAAAAACTTACCTCAAATGAGCTTGTGAGTTTTAATGAATCAGGTGCAAAATTAAACGAGAAACAAGGGCAAGAATATTTGCAATTGAATTGCAGCAAAATGATGAGATATGAAAGTATACTTAGAAAACAACAAACCAAAGAATATCAATATATATGCACTCCTAATGATTTTGGTGTGAACAGTTTACCATCAAATCATGAATTTAATAATTTTTTTAACAATTTAGAAAAGAGGTTTTGTAGTATCACCAAGACAGTTGGTTCAAAAAAAAAATGTGGTAGCTTAGATGAGTGTTCATCCAAAAGATATGCTACAACCCCACTATCTCTCACTTTTAACGGCGAGAGTGATAGCTCAAGGGAAACTTTGTCACAGATAACTGAAACTTCTAAAAAAATGGCAGATGATTTGCTTGTCTACGAGTTTCATAATGATCATAAAACTGTCAGTGATGCATGTTCTGGTGATACAATAAGCAGCTTCATAAAACTGCTAAAAAATAATAAATCTAATTCTGGAGAAAGTATTTGTGATGGTGATTCATCAAGAGTTATCAGTGGTAATAAAGATTGTGTGAAAGATAAAAAAGCTGCAAGTGATGGTTCTTTAGATATGAGTAGGTGTGCACTGGTCTGTGCTTCAGTAGATAAACCACAGGGCTTAACTACTTCAGAATTTGTAGAGAATCAAAAGTTAGAGGAGCCACTCACTTGTGTGCATACTTCAATCAACGAGTTGGTCATCCATACAAACACTGGAATGTGTAAACAGTCTGTGGGATCTCTTAAAAATAAACCAGGGTTTTCTCGAATGAAAAGTATTATAAAGGAATTGGACTTCAAGTTAATAAACAAGAAAAAGCTCATTGAAAAAGTAGATATGCAAAATAAGGTAGATGTTACACCAAATACAAAAGGACTTGTAGAAACTAAATCATCACTCAAAAAAATTCCATTGCAGGTGTTTTGGATTTCCCAAAGGTATGTTGTTCTTTTTATGAACTCTTTTATTATATGTTTACTTTCTGACAATTCCACATTTCTAGGTTTTTACCTACCTTTATTAGGTTCAAAATTATAAAGGAAGTGATTCTCCTTTCTGCCACAAATGAATGACAGTCTTTAGTAATGTACGTAAAAGACGAACAAAACTGGGTAAGACCAGGTATTATGTACGAGATATTTAAAATATAGAAATATATTTATGGACAAACCTTAGTAAATAGGTAATTAAATCATTACTTTTTTTGGCCTAAAATGAGAAAATTTATTTGTTTGTTTTTTCATAAGTTAGCTTTAAAATATAGAAATATATTTATGGACAAACCTTAGTAAATAGGTAATTAAATCATTACTTTTTTTGGCCTAAAATGAGAAAATTTATTTGTTTGTTTTTTCATAAGTTAGCTATATTTTTTAACTTTTTAGTTGGAAATTTACATACAAGAATAGAAAAGTTGGAACGTGTGTTTAGACATGTTGTTCTTCTTTAAATCGACAGTTTTAATGTGTATGTGTACATGTTTCTTATAAAGTATGTACATCAACCAAGTACAAGTTATGCATTTTTTGCAAGTTAAAATTAGTTCTACATGCATTGTAGATACAGAGAGAATACTGTGAACAACTTTAGAAAAATATGAAAACCATCTGTTTATTAAAATAAAAATTTAAGTTATAGTATCTAAAAGAAATAAAGAAAAGCCATTCAACAAGTTTTAACTTAGTGGATTTAATGGTGGTAGGACTAAAGCAGTGTTGTTGTTTGTTCTCTTAGATCTGAGACTTACATTATTTGTTTTTCTATATCATTAATTTCAGTTTTTCACAAAATTAATCTGGTAGTTGGAAGTTAAATTGTCATTATTCCATAGTGTTCCTTGTATAGATAACAGAGTACCATTCTCCTAGTTCCCCACCACCACTACTGTTATAATATGCAATTTACACTTACGATGTGGCAGAAAATTCTAAACAAGATTTTAGCATTACTGACATAGCATTGTAATTGTGTATTTATACTAGCAAAGTTTTACATCATGCAATTAGTCATTTTCCTTGTAATCTGCTTTATTTGATTTATCTTCAGGTTTTGATGAGTTGCGGTGTATTTCTCTGATAATATTCAGAAAAATGAATTATATAAGATTGTAAAGTTTTGAATTGCCCTTTTTTTAGTACATATTCTTAAGAGCAACTGAAGTACTATTTGAATTTGTTTGTACTTTGGCAAGTTCGTGTATGGATGTCTGAGATGGGTTTCCTCAATTTTTTTTTGTGTGGTTATTCCAAGTTTGTTTGAATGGCTACTTTTGTCAATTGTTAATAGCTTTCAAAAATTGAAGTTTCTTCTGTGCATTTAGTTATTGTGTAATGTTTTGCTTTATTTCTGTTGGTTTTTTGTTTGTTTACTTTTAAGTATGGTTCCATAATGTTAGATCTCAAAAGTGAGTACGTTTAAAGTGTGACAGTTTTGGGTAATAATATGGTGCTAGAAACATCTATATGTTGAAAACACTTCATTTGAACTACTTACAGTACTTTAGTAATTTACAAGTGTACCCCATTCTCTCGTAGTATAACTATACCCATAGGGTTTGAACAGTAAAAGTAAATGCTTGTTCAGAAAACATTCATCTCTCACTATTTGCATATGATTGTGGTATCTTCATTTTTTGGTTATTGTCTTCCACCTGTAGCCATTCTTCAGACTTCAGTGAGACTTTGACTGGAGAAGCTATCTTTTATTACTCCTTTCTTCCTTTTCAGGGGCTTTTTTCCTTTTTTGTTGCTAATTGTTGTCTGGATCCCACTCTGGCAAGTGGTGCCTAACCAAGTATTCTTTAACCATTCAAATTTGCAATGTAAGACCATGTTGACTTGCATATTATGATTCCATGGCCATGTAACACACACACACACAGTGGAGATGGGATGTTCCACAAGATCACTTGTAGGTTTATCCTTGCGATAGGTTTGCTCTATAGGTTTGCCTGTCCTGGACCGTACTCACCCATGGACTACATGGGTAAAGCAGAAAGGGATAGCTGAGCATCCCTACCATTTCTTGTATTCAATAAATTGGCATGGGCTGCTTTTAACAATGGGGTTTCATGGTCACCCATTGCACTGTCTCGGGTGTTGTCATTCCTCTGGATTTTCTACTGCACTCCCCCCCCCCCCTTTTCTTCTAGTGGAGTATGAGAGTCCTTACCACTTTCCAGTTTCAAGCTGCTGGGGTAGTGTATTGTGGAGGCATCATCCTGAATGTGTTAATGAAATACAAATAATATATATAAATTATTATAAAACCATTCAGCTGAGAGTAGAACGGTCGTGTTCTGCTGGTGTAGATGACGTGATATCCTCCACTATGTAACGTGGGAGTGAACTGTCAAAATTTCATTTCACCCCTTTGATTGGGATCCCTCATCCTCCCCCAGTGACCACTATCCATTGATGCTTATTATTGCAATGATGTTACCGCACTTGGGGATGTTCCGGTCATTATATATTTGAGTGAGATGGCTTACATTACTCAGACATCTTTTCGATGACAGATGTTGGGTTCCTGGATCGGTCATTCAATTTCTCACATTGTTATCATGTGCCCATTCATGGGCCGAGGGGGTACGAGATTCCCACCTGTCTCATGAACTTGAGATGAAGACAATATGGTCCTCTTTCCTACCCCCATCCACATGGCTGGGTTTTGGATTCTAGTTAACTTGCCAGTAGTATGATTGTGTTTCCTACCCCCACATAGATGTTGGTACCAAATGGCCAGGTTTTGGATTGTAGTTGACTTACCAATGGTGTGATCCTCATCCTACCCCTGTATGGATGTCAGTTCTCAGCAGCATGGGTTTTGGATGTAGTTGACTTGCCGTGTACAGTCCGTCACACCCTAGCCACTTTATACTTAGGGGCATATCCTTTAATTTTACACAATTTTATGTTTCGAAGGATTGAGTTTAATAAAAAATGTGTTGGTCAGATCACTATCCTGCTATAGTTCTCTCCAATTTGGATGTGCTCCTCCATCTTTGCACCCATATATGTGACATCTTTCCACAATGGGCAAAGAGCATACCTGGTTCAGAAGTGGTGCGGTCTCCCACATATGATCTTCAAGTCTGAAGATCTCTTTATGGGGAAGTGTCCTTTGGATGCTTTTTTCTTTCCCTCACGCTAATTCCTTCACCTATTCAATGTGGGATTCTAGCTATTTATGTGAGAGGAGGTAATGTACCATATCGGAAGGTTTAATTTTCCTAGACTGAAAATGTATTTCCAATAGACGTGTATCTCTTCTCACCTTTTTTCCTCACTGAAAACTGGTGCTTCCATTTTCTGCTAACACTCAAAGTGATAGTTCGATAGAATTGAAAGAAGGAGTCACATGCATCAAGAGAGTGTCGTACTCTTATTGGGGTTGTTGCATCATAATTGGCATGCAAGACACATTGGAAGTAGTCAATTCCAGATGGGTGGGAGTTTCAAGCCTTGTGGTGTGTGTCTATATGTTTTGCATATAGAGGGCAGCACTGAACGAGAATAGAGAATAGCTATTTATGTGAGAGGAAGTAAGTTCCTATTGGAAATACAATCTAAATATAGGAAAATTATAACTTTTTGCATTTTTATTCCATTCTTTGCATACCTGATACTAAGTATCAGGACATTTTACATACCAGAAAAGTGCTTTACTAATGAAACTAAAGGTTACCATTTAACAACTGCTAATAGTCTCTCAAATTACCACAGATATTGTTTTTTGATATTTCAGTTTGATTTTCCTCAAAAATGACTAATTTCTGAAAATACGTTTTTCATGAGTTAGCTTCTTTTTTTTTCAGACTTTACAAGTTTAAGTAAAATATAAATGTACCTTGTTCAGTAACTTGTTTTGTTCCTTCGGTGTTTCAGTAAATTTATATATGAATGTAATCATGCTGGTTTTGCAGTACTGCCCAAGAACATGAGTCTTTACCAGTGCCTCAAATTAGCAGACCCATAGACATGCCAGTAATATTTTCTGATGTCAGTCCATCAACATGGAATACACAAAGAGAAAAGAAATGTTTATTTGAAAAAAAACATATCAGTGGTAAGTTGTGCTGGGAATCATTTGTTAGTCATAATCAAAGATAGGTTTGTTTGTTGTTTTTGTTGTGTGTGTGTGTTTTTTTTTGGGGGGGGGAGGACAGTATGGCAGTTGAGAAGTTACCCAGTACATGTATAAGTATGAATCAAAACCTAAAATTTACATATGAGATTAATATCATTCAACTTGTTAACTTCATTTTATTTGGATTGTAATAGACAATAACCTTAGACATTTTTAGCTTGGTACAAATATCAAACCAAGCCACACAAATGCTTCTAAAGTGTGTATCAACTGTTATAAGTATATTCTTTCTGACATTTTCCTATGTGATCTTCATGTCTGAAGTTGACTGACATTGGATTAGGGTTTAATTTATAAAAATCAAAATATTTCCAGATTTTGGAGAGAGAGCATATTTTTCTGTGACAATTGAATATTTATTTCATTTCATCCTTCTGTTTTGTTGTCATCAGTGTTTTGATTCTCTTATTTTTCTGAAACATTTTGAATTGCTTGCACTGTTTAGTCTTAATCAGTAATAGCCAACTTACCATGATAATGTTTTCACAGAAATAAAATTTACCTGTCTTGCTTCATTAAAATATAATTTTTAGGATAACATGATCATACAAAAACCATAATTAGTTTGATGGTTAAATGCAAAAGCCAAACAGTTCTTGACTGAATTTATTAATTGATACAGATCTAGTACTAAGGTGAAAAAGAAAACTGCATGAATTTGCATAAGAAAATACTTTGCAATCTTCCAAAAAAGCAATGTATGCCAAAATCTTAATGCATTGCTTGCTTATTATTTTAACAAATATAATTTTAATTGTATCTAGCTTAGTGTATTTTCATAGCTTATACAGCTTTATTTGTAAAACTTAGTGTTTCTTATTCTTTAATTTAGTAATTGAGGCCTGCTTAGAAGAAGGACCAGAATATCTTCATGTTGCTCTTCAAAGTATTCGTGACTTCACTACAACAACCCGAAAACCTCCTCCAGCACTTACAGAGAGACTGTTACATAAGCTAATGAAGGTACAAACCACAAGAGATGCTGTTGAAATTTATATCACTCTCCTTCATATACACAGGTATTTTCCTTTAAGTCCACAACCTGTAAGACATGAAAAACATTAATTTCTAAAAATAGTCATTGAATTTCTCTCCTGCTCCTCATGAAAAAATCTTCTGATTTTATTTTCTAGATACACTGGTATTCAGAGTATATTGTGATGCAGTTTTTGTTCTTGTAGTTATGGTAAAATATGACTTAGCTGATATGGTTTAAGTGAAAACAGTTGCATAGAAATATTATTAAGCATTCAATGATCTTTGTTGTTTTTATTAATTTATTCTTTAACCGTTTTGATATGAGGAGGTCAAAGTTAGCATGTCACGAATTTTTCAGTTATATTCAAAATTTAATTAAACTACTTTATTATCAAGGTGTACAAGTAAACTTGGTATCAGAACATATTTAATTTCAAAAGAAAATATGGAAATTAATTCTCACTCTCCCCTTGTATATGTATTGTGACATTTGTTTGCTTCGACTTGCCTATATTCTGCTTTTTTTTTTCCTCACTCTTCTAATGGCTTGAGTTTAATGTAAGTTACTCATTATTGTAGAGGCATAGTCTAATTTTTATAGCATTCAATCTTCTTTGTTTATGGAGATATAAACCAGAAAGTCAGACCACTTTTCACACCCTCACTTTCACAAGTTATCAGTAATTCTCTCTGAGATTTGTTCTTACAGCATTTATTAGCAATAGAAAGACAAATAGGTAATTTATTGAGTAATTTATAATGCTACCTTGTTCTCAGTAGAAATTTTTCATCACTTCCTCTAGAGATTGAAAGTTGCTATTGCGAAGTTCAGATCGTGTAGCTAAAGGAATTATTTTAAGGCACTTATGTCTTCGTTAGAAACCCAGTTAAATTATAATAGTTACAGGACATTGTCTGCTTTGTGCATTTTATTATTTTGTGTTCTTATGTACATATTTGAAATACATAATTATTTTATGTTCTAATACTATTATTACAAAAAAAGTAGTCTGAAGTTTCATCTTTGAACTGACAGCAAAAAGGACCAGAGGCCAAACATAAGTATTAAATTTCTTTTTTCATGTGTAAATTTATTGTTTATTACTATAAAAGTAACATTTTTAAAAATTCCCCACACGGTATGCTTGCAAGTAGCTCATGCATTACATCATTCATTATGGTAATTTCACCTATGCATTTGCCATATGATTTATAGTTTAGCTTATGGGAATATTAGTTATACATCATTCAACAAGCAATAAAACAATAAAATTAAATAAAAACAGAGTTAAACTGTTATGAACCATAGCTGTTTAGGAAAAAAAATAAGATATAATGCAAAGTTTTACTGACAAAGTTTGACCTTCATTTAGGAGGTTTTAGAATTTATACAAATAATATGTTAAAATTATAAGATGGAAAAAATTTTAATCCTAACTTGAAAATCACTTTGCACTCTGAATAGTCAACACTTTGACTCCATATATTCAGGACAAATATTTAGTAAAAAAAAACTTAATTAAAAAATAAAAATTTTTGTGTACAAAAGACTTGTAATGTTTGTTAAAAGCTTGCTTAATTTTCTGAAGATACATTTAGCACATTCAAAACTATGGTATAGATACTTTCATGCTAACCTGGTGGTTGCACACTTGGTCAAAATGATTGAGTCCATGTCAAGAGAGTTAATTAGTTGGCTCTTACACCTTTCTACAGAAAGGAAAATTATAAGTTATTTTGCATTCTGTATTAATTGGCAAGAAAAAAGTACAAAGAACATGATGCTCAGTGTAGTACAAATTATGGTATATAAATAGTTACTCGGTCATCAGCTGAAACCATTTATTTCTATAGAGCCTGGTTGGGTGAACTTGCTTTAAGGGCAGAATTGCACCATTGAATTAATAATGCTTATAGATGGTTTGAATGGGTGATGAAGAAAAACTTTAATATAAGTTTAACATAACAACAAATGTACAATGTTTCGACAAGGTTTTGTGATGATGACAAAATCTTGTTGAAACGTTGTATATTTGCTGTTATGTTAAACTTGTATTAAAGTTTTTCTTCATTTCCCATTTAAGCCATCTACAAGCATTATAAGTCTTAAAGTGGGTTCCTCGTCATCGAATTTAAAACCATTGAATTAAAGAAATAAACTTGTACTCATTATTCCACACACTTTTCAAAAACCTCAATGTTGAACTTTAGTCAATAAAAAGTTTTTACTTTATGCATATTTTTTTTTAAATCTGAAATGTTGATTGTAGGCTGTTTTCTATGAGTTCTGAACAAAAGCATTAGTGTTTGGGAATTTCTTTTATTTTTTCTCATAATAATAAGTTACTTGCAATCCTTAAGGAAGAAGATCAAAATAGTTTCAAACAAAACACCCAATTTGAACTTTTTAATTTCATTACATGTATAGTTTTATTGATGTTAGCAAATCACTGTTTCTCGACTATAGTTGTCATATTATGATTTAACTGCCAATATCTTAGCTTTGAGAAGTCACAAGCTAATGATCTTCACATGTAATAAAAGTTATTTCTTGTCTTTTCAACTATATTCACTAATATGGTTTCCATTTCATTGAAGACTCGGACAGAAGTTAGAACAAAATAATGAAAGGTTAGCTTGGCGATATGTTGCTAGAAGAAATGTTTACACAAACAACTGCAGTCTGCGGGTTCGCATCCCCATCCCACCAAACATGCTCGCCCTTTCAGCCGTGGGGGCGTTATAATGTGACGGTCAATCCCACTATTCGTTGGTAAAAGAGTAGGCCAAGAGTTGGCGCTGGGTGGTGATGACTAGCTGCCTTCCCTCTAGTCTTACACTGCTAAATTAGGGACGGCTAGCGCGGATAGCCCTCATGTAGCTTTGCGCGAAATTCAAAAACAAACAAACACAAACAACTTTTGTCACAATTACAGTCCTAGTTTTTTTCAAAGGTTGCAAAAAAGATTGCTTTGTCATTTGATACTTCATTTGAATTATGATAATGAAAAGTTTTTCAATGAACAAGATGAGGTAGACATAGTTAAACCTGAATTTTGCTTTTCATATGAGAAATAATGTTTGTAAGTGTCATGTTTGGATTCCAATTTTCTTCTTACATTTTATCAGCTTGGTTCCTAGTTGAGCATACATCATAATGTGTCAAAGCAGGGGCCAGAAATGGATAGATATATATGTATGTATATATATTCAGGTGATTGTATTTATCGCATTTGGCTTGGAATCTCTTATTTGGATAGTGTCATGTCTGAACAGTTCTTTTGCCCAATCTGTTCCTTTTCCCGAGTTGGAGAGGGGTTCCTGACAGATAACAAACATAATGCTCTCATTTTTCTTTTTTTCTATTCCTTTTAAATTGGAACTGTTCTTTTTTTTGTGATAAGGATTTGAATGTTCAGACTTCTGCTGACCCTAATTATTTGTTTTAGGCATACAATTCAAATTTGAAGCTACACACAGATATACCCATGTAGACTGGAACAAAGAGTGAAAAGATAACAAAAAAAAACTTTTGTTTTATAGGAGGAATATAAATAAATGGAACCCAGCCTTATATTAATGGTGTTAGTCCAGTGGATTAACCCGGCATCTGTGAGGCTATACGTAGTAATGTTTACTATAATTTTAAATTTACTACATGTATCTTTACAACATTTGGCAAGGTATTAGTACACATTACATGTCTGTTTAAAAAAAAGAATTTTTAATGAACTATTTCTACTAAAGATATTAATATCAAAAGTATTTTTTGATGAAACTTTTTATTTTATTGGTTTAAAAATATTTTGTTAGTTTCTCAGAACCAAATATCAATGATTCCAGATAAATAATCTGAGGCCAACTGTATAGTACGTCCACTAAAACGAAATAACCTTAACAAGATTTTTGTAAAGGAAAAAGATGCATTTTCTATTGGTTATAAACATGTCCATCAACTAATCATGTAGTTTAAATAACTTCCTTGAAAACTATGATAAGATTTGAGATATTTCACAAACTTATTGATATCTTGGTAAATCAAGAAAGTAGGAGGCTCATATTTTATATTCTAGCTTATTAGTATGTATAGTTTGCATTTGTTACTGGTTGAATGCACTGAAATCCATAATAGGGAAGAAAGAAAATCTGTAAAGTAGATTTCATGGTACAAATATGTTGGGTGAAACAGAACAGTGAAGATCAGAATTTACTTAAATATTTCATTTTAATATTAAGAAATTGAAACATTGAATTACACACTACATTTTGATTCCAAGTTTATTGACATAGAGTGATAATAAGGTTGTTAATTAAATATTGGTAACTGTAAAAGGTTGTTATGTTCACTTTGACCAAACTGTGTGCATAAGGTTCAAGAAATCCTAATGTAATCAAACAAGTGGAGTATTTTAGGTAAAAAAATAAAAGAGGTTGGTTTGTGTATGTTTTAAGTTGATTTGACTTTGTCATTTGTCCTGCAAGGTGCATTTAAAATATGGTAATGCATTGTATAATAATCCTGAGAAAGGAACATTAATGTTGACAGTGTCTCATGAAAGCATTGTTTATGTTAATTTTGTTTTTGCTTTTGACTCCTTCACATTCACAATTTTTTTGGTTTTTACCTTTTTACACTTCTGGACACATGATGTTTTTACAGTGTTACATTCCAAACTTAATTAAATTCTTTTAGTATCAATGTATGTCAATAAACTTGACATGAAAACATAGTTTATAATTCAAATATTTATATTATCTGAGTTTTAACTGCTTAATGTCAAAAATAAACAAAAAAATATATCAATCTTTATTTTTCTGTGTCATGTGATGTGTCTGAGCTGTGACTTCTCCCCTTCAAAATTTTGTAATGTCAAATATAGGCTGCTGCAGTTTCCAACCAATAAGAAACACAAACTATACATAATTATAAACAATAATCTAAAATTTGTACCTCCCACCTTCTTGATTAATTGAGATATCAATACATTTGTCAAACTCACCAGCGAAGCCCCTCCCATTTCACTCTGTCTTTTGACATTGATTACTGATCAACTTTTCATGGCTGATGGACATGTTTATAACCAATAGGAAGAGAAGAATTTCCTCTACACAAAGCTAGTTACCATTTGTTTGATTGGTGCCTATGTTATGTATTTGGCCAAATCTTCAGCTGCATGATAATTATATTGTTACTCCAAACAGCTAAATTTTTTTTTTTTTTTTGATCTGCGTATAGCTTACTCAGAAAGCTGGATAAATTATAGTAGTTTTGGGACATTCTATTCTTGTGATGCATACATTTATTGTGTTCAAAAAATATATATTTATTTGTTATTACATATTTTTCAACAAAGGTAACTAAAATGTAAAAATTATAAACTTACCAGCTTTGCCTAAAAAAACTCCTGGACAATAAGATATCTAAAATTACACTAATTGACCCAAAGTAAAAGGTCATATCCCTTCCTTGCTAAGATAGCACATAAAATCTGATGCTGATCTTTGGATTAATTGGCAAAAGTGAATGAGAATGGTGACACATTCCACCTAACAGGTGATACCCATCATGCAGTTAGCTAACTTGAAAACAATTGGGGGTAAAGTTTCTTGCTCAAGGACACAACAGAATGATGCAAGCCAGCCTCAGACTGGCAACCATCAAACCGAGTCCACTAACAGGACACCTCAAAAATCACATAGTATTTACTTCAGCTCTATTGGAAACAGCTGATGAGCTCCCACTGTGATTTATTGCTTTTCAAATGGCAACTACTACTTACTTTGGTACAACTACAAAGAACAGCAATAAAACCATAGAATTAAAAGGGAAAATTTTAGCAGTTGAAACTTTGCCTTGAATTTTATTTATAATCAATACTGTAGTCAGTGTAGAGGAAAAAAACTGCATTATTCATTGTATTTCTTATTCTTCGACTTTTCATTTTGCTTTATTTTGGTGGTTACTGTTAGAGTAGATAAAATTAGATAAAATATAAAGTTTAATGAAGGTAAACATTTTTTATTCATTTAGAAAATTGTAGAGGTTATTTAAACGAAATATGAAACTTTAAGATGAAAAGAAATATCTATATTCTTAGCTTGAAAATTATTGTTTACTCAGATTTATTCAGTAATAGCTTCATAAATTCACAGGTTAATCTTTAATAAAAATACTTCAGTAAAATATCTGATTTTTTTATGTACAAAAGACTCATAATGTTTACCAAGATCTTGATTAATTTTGTGAAGATACGTAGTAAATTACAGTATATATAGTTCACATAAACAGTCTTGGTCCAAGGTACTGACTCTGTTCTTAAAAAGAGTTACATCAGAAATTTGGTTCATGTAATAAGTTGTCTCATCCTAGTTCTGGTCATGCCAGAGCAAGGTAAAATCTTTTGTTCATAAAAATAGACTAGTCTTAGAAGCATGAACACTATAAGGCCAGTTAGTCCTCTCTTTTTGCCACACAGCTGTCTGTCTTAATAAAAATGACAGTAACTCCCTGACCCCATTTTTTTATATATTTTGTCTTTCAAAACTAGTTGTTGTATTTTCCCTTTCTTTTCTCATTTTGATGTTTAAAATTTACATTTTAAAAGTGTGAGGATATGAACTTGGATACATATCTCTGGTGTGTACACTTTTGTCTTCAGGGCTAGATGATTTACTTCTGTCCTTCACTCCTGTCAGTACACTTCTTTCTTTTTTTCCAGCTCATTGATACACCCTTACCTTCCACTCTTGGCAATACACTCGTACCTTTCACTCTAGACAGTCAATATATTCTTACCTTCAAGGCCAGATGATATGCTTCTGTCCTTCACTCCTGTCAGTACACTTCTTTCTTTCTTTCCAGCTCATTGATACACCCTTACCTTCCACTCTTGGCAATACACTCGTACCTTTCACTCTAGACAGTCAGTATATTCTTACCTTCAAGGCCAGATGATATGCTTCTGTCCTCCTCTCAACTCAACACACTCCTAACTTTCACTAAATGATACATTCCTACCTTCAAATCTGTATGATACATTCATGTCTTCCTCTTTAGTCAATATTCCTATTTCTATTTTACACTAGCCAACAAAATCATAACTTTCCCTCTTTACAATTGATACACTCCTGTCTTCAAGACTGTCTTCCACTCCAGATTATACACTCCTAACTTTCACTTTATATTATCAATATGCTTCCATCTTCATGCCTAGATGATACACTCATGTCTTCCATTCTTGTCAGTGTACTCTTATCTTCAAATGTTGACAATACACTCCAACTTTACACTCTCGTCAACATACTCCTTTCATTCCAGATGATACACTCCTACCTTCAAACCTGTATGATACATTCTTTTCTTCCACTCCAGTCAACATGTAACTTCATGTCTAAACAATACACTTCTATCTTCAGTTCAAGATGAGACACTATTTAACATACTCCTGTCTTCAAGTCTAGTCTAAAACATACACTCCTCCATTTCATCCTAGACATTTACACTCCTACCTTCCACTTCAGACAGTACATTCCGTCCTTCCATTCTAAATGATACACTTCTATCCTTTAAAACTATATAATACATTCCTGTTTTCCACTTTAGTTATCACATTCCTAACTTCTATTTGAGATGATACTTCCTACCTGCCAAAGAACATGATACACTCCTATTTTACAGTCTCAATAAGAATGATATACTGAAAAATATATACATCATCTACTGTGTAATGTGGACTCTTTGAAGCAAAAGAATCTATCACATCGGTTAATACTTAATGTTCATAAACAAGTGGTACTTTATGCCCAGTAAAGTTCTATGTTACCCAAACGTGGACAAGGTTGGTCTGTTGGAATCGCCTTGCACTGAACCAATAATATAGACTGTAATTCCAAATTTACCATGTCTATCTTCACAAAGTGTGACAAGATTTTAGTAAACAGTACAGGTCTGTTGTACAGGAAAGTCATGTGTTAATAAGGAATTTTTATTAAAGGTATGTCTTTAAATTGACAAAGTCAACCTGAATGAGACTTCATGACAAGTCAGAGTGCAAGGTGATATTCATGTGAAGAATAAAAATACTTTTTTCCACTGTAAAGTTTGCATATTACATTGGCATAACTTCTCAAATACATATTTACAGTTTTATTGGCTTAAAGATTTATACATTAACATGAATTCTGATAATGACCCAGCTAGGAATGTGCCATTGAGCCAGTAACTAAACAGCACATGTTGCAACATTTAACAATATCAAAAGAAAGAGCAACCAAACTGTTACTAATCACAAAACAAACTTTCTAACTTCTTTAGTCTTGAGACTTTATGTGTATACTATTTTAATTTTATAACATACAGTAGAATTCTTTGTGATCTGTTTCTTTCAACTGCTAATTTGTAACTCTATGAGAAATTAGGAACTAGACTTGTATAAACATTTAGCAGAACATAAAAAAATTTGTATGCAGCAAGTTTTCTTTTTTCCTCCCAGAATATACAAATATAAAACAATAGACTTTTTTATATAATGTCAATAATAAGTGTTGTAACAGAGTTTTACTGCATAAATTAATGCTACATTGTGCCATTTAAATCAACATAAAATTCATTTCCATTTCATGTTGTGATGTCATCATTAGTTCAGTAATTTACCTCAAACAGCATACCAGTTTGAACCACATTATACATCTTTAGTGAAGTACTATATAGAATTAATCTGAAAAATAAATAAAATGCAAGTTTAGTATTCAGTGAACATTGCATTAATGGACATATATTTTAAAAAGGATTAAGTGTTCTGCAATAATGTAAGTCAAAAGTATTTTATTGAAGAATATTTTCTTTTGAATGTATTGAAAAATGTTCAGTAAATGAGCTCTTAGAATAATAATTCTTTTATTTTTTAACAAAACCATTTCATATTTATTTTTTTAGGTATCACAACATCATTAAAGAGATCTCATGGTGGACATACATAGAATTAGCCTTAGGTGAGCTGAAAAAGACATTTTACAAAATTGAGTCAACATCCTCGTATATAGCATTTTATGCCTGTTCCCTGCTTCTGAAATTTGTAGTACATGTTCTACATTCTGAGGTTATTGGACATCACTTAGTGCATAATGTATTCACATTCAGTCAGTACACTGTATATAAATTATTGTCACCAGATGTTCCTACAAGTCAAGTTAAGACTGTAGTTTCATGGTTAGAGAAGGCCATTGCTTGGGAAAAGATCCTCATATCATGTAGAACATGCAAGTTAAATGTAAAAGCTATGGATATCCCATCAGATAGAGCTTTGTTCCTGTTACAAAAGTTACTTGCTTTGGCTGTACTTGTTAGCAAGGTCCCATCTATAGCAGTACAGTCGTTAGCTTGTCCATTGCAGCTTTTATTTCAGAGACTGGAAACATGGTCTGACAAGTGGCTATTTATGTGTTCTATCCAGTCTGACTTTCTCAGGTTGAGTTTATCAGAGATGATTTTGAAGAAGCACTTCAAACCTCTGTCAGATATTAGTCCTTTAGCTAACATATATCAGCACCTGCCCTTGTCCTGCTCCAAGATTCTTCATTACTACTTCTATTTCACCCCAAACAACTATGAGGAGAATCCCCAGACACCTTCAAGCTCCTCTCCATTTGTGGAGTTGGTATGGTTATTGACTTGGCTGCTGAAATCCTACATTGACACTGTTGCAGGTGAGCTAGTATTTATGTTCTATTCCACTTGAAATTAGTTTTTCTTAACCCTTCTACTACAGGTGGGTGGATTCCACCCAGCCCGTGTTCCTGAAAGTAACCATAAGGCAGTTATACTGTAACTTTTTTAAAACGTACACATATCTTCACAGAATTTTGCAATTATCAGTAAACATTACAAGGCATTCTTGCACAAAGTATCAGATTTTAATTAATTATTTGCTCATACATTTTTTATTTTCAAATATTGACTATCCAATATGCAAAGTAATTTTGATTTTAAGATTAAAAATACTTTTATGCATCAGAAAATTGTCAGATTTCACATGGAAAATCTCCATAACATCCTAATATCCTCCAGATAATTATCAAACTTTTTTCAGAAAACAACTTTATATTTTATCTGTTATTTTCACTACTCTGTCTCTATAAGGGTTGGGTTGATTTTACCATAACCACCATACAAAATTAGAAAATAAATATAAATTATGTTTTTTGTTTTTTTTCATTCTAGAATTACTACAAACTTTGGAACTTCATTGTCCATACTAAAAAGGAGAGACAGTACTATTCATTTTGTTTCTTCTAGTTCTAAGCCATCTGTTAGCAATAAAATAACTACAGAAAGTAAATATGAAAAGGTGAAATGTGGAAACTGACCATAAGTACTTTGAAATTTTGTGATCAATACAAACGGTACTATACATTTTATCTTGCATTTGCAGCCTTTACTTTTGTTATACTATGATTACTTACCTACAACCTGGAAATGAAGTATAATGTTACAGTAAAGAAATTAACATACAAGATATACAGCTTTACTGAAAACATAAATGTTTGATATTTAATTATCAAGGTTTTTTATTTTTTCATTTGTTTTCACTATTTCTTATTACAAAAGTCACTAAAATGTAAAAAATAGAAACTTATTAGGTAACAATGAAAGAAGAAGAAAAATATTTTTGGGGTATATGCACCAGCAGCTTGTGCATTACACTATTCGATATGGTAACATGAGCTCCATGTACGCCATATGATTTTCAACTTGTGTCAGAGTATTTTTAGTCAGACATGGTTCAAAGGTCAATAAAACAAAAATTAATAAATATTAGTTGATGTATACTGCTATGAGATTTTAGCTAATTAGAAGAAACATTTGTGGTTTCCTGTTGCAATTTGCAGTTATTGTAGAACAAAAACAAAAGGTAATTTAGATTTATTTCTTAATTTTTATTATGGTTATGAGGTTGGTCAAATCGACCATCACCATATAGAGTTAATATTGATAAAATAACCAATTAAATATAAAGTTTTATTCAAAAAAACATTTGATGATTATCTAGAATGATATAGAGATTACTAAAATGAAGCTTGACAATTTTCAGATAGAAAAAAGTATTTTTATTCTTAAAATCAAAATTACTTTTCACATTGGATAGTCAACATTCTGAAAGAAACAAATTCATGAGCAAATCTTTAATAAAAAAATCTTAATACTTAATTTAAAAACCTGATATTTAGTATATGAAAGCCTTGTAATGTTTACTAATAATCCTCAAAATTTTGTAAAGCTACACTTACATTATCAAAAATTATAGTATACTTATTCGCATGAATACTTTCATAGCTACGAGCTGGGTGGATTACACCCAGCCCGTATTCGTAGGTTTAAAGGACAGGTTTAGTCATAGCAGTGTCATATTAACATACAGAATGTGATGAATCATGTGGACCTAAAAGATTTAAACTTCATAACTTTGTAATTAAAAGTAAAATGACAGTAAACCCAATCAAACATTTATCTTTATTATGTATCTTAGACATTATTAAAGTATCAAATATCATGTTCTATAAACTATGTGTTTATATTATGTAATGTTGGTGAGGGTACAATGGGTAAATTTTTCTACTACTACACATGCCTTTTAGTGGGACTGGTGAGTAAGGTGTTCAACTTATAATATGTAGATCATGCAATCGTAATCTGTTACCAAACAAACTCACCTTTAAGCTGTGGGAGTATTATAATGTAACAGTTAATCCCACTAAGGCCCAGCATGGCCAGGTGGTTAGGAAGCTCAACTTGCAATCTGCGGATCGCGGGTTTGAATCCCCGTCCCACCAAACATGCTCGCCCTTTCAGCTGTGGGGGCATTATAATGTGGCAGTCAATCACACCATTATTCGTTGTTAAAAGAGTAGCCCAAGAGTTGGTAGTGGGTGGTGATGACTAGCTGCCTTCCCTCTAGTCTTACACTGCTAAATTAGGGACGGCTAGTGCAGATAGCCCTCGTGTAGCTTTGTGCAAAAATTCAAAAACAAAAACAAAGTTTTTCATTATGTTAGTGTCAAGCTGTTTTAACTTTTGCTTATTTATTCACTTTGTAACTTTTGTTTTTGTTTTTATTGATTTTTGATTAAATATGACTGAAAAACAAAAATTCAACACGATGCAATGTTACTTCTTCTGAATTTAGTTCTGAGAATTTTGTTTAACATTGATCATGAAATGAGTAGTTATACAACTGATACAGTCCAAACCTTGCCATACATTATTTACTTTTTATTAAAATCTGAATCTGAAAAATATTTTAATGAAAACCAGTTCTACAACATACGTGAATTAAACTTGATTTTATTTTAAATTATTACCTACAGTACTATTTTTAAAAATAGTTTAAAAACTACCAATGTTATTTTTTATGAAAACATTAGTTGTACATGTTACAAATCAAACTTAATACAAGACAATATTAAATATTAATTAGGCATATAATATAATGTGATCAATTATGTTGTCATCAGCTTTGAATGAAATCTAATTTAGATATATATCTGTTTATGGCTCTGAATAATCATGATGAATGTGCAGGTGCTTTATGCATGTGTGCATACAATCTAAGAGATGAGGTTGACATTTCATTAAATTAGTGAACAATGTATTTTGTGGCTTTGTGTTGAACTGAACTGAAATTAGTGAACATCACACATATATATTGACTTCTTATTACCAAAAAATCTTATAAATAAATGAGTCATCATTGTAAATTATCATATAGTTATATATATCTGATGAAAAGTGTTTATTTTGGCAAATTGGCAAAATTCCATTCATTCTATGCAAACAAATGATAGTTAAGTATTTGAATGCATCTCATGAAAGATGGGATGTGATGTTTTTAACATGCCTTTTGGAACACATGGACAAGAAAAATATAATGTGACCACTGAGTTTGAAGCATAAGTGGCACTATTAGTGTATATTTTTGGAGATTAAAATTCCATACTTGTTTTATTTAATGTTAAATCTGTAATTTAAGTTAAAACTTAGCATATACTTATTGTCATGCTTTAGTGTCATGTTGCTGTTCTGACGATGTGATAGTTAACTAAAACATTTTTTTTTCAAATATTTATGTTCATATGTTGTATTTGAATTATTGTAAAACTTACAAAATATAACCTTTTGTGATAGCATGCACAGTTTAATCCCTTACATAGTGATAAATGTGCTTGGTGGCCAACATGGCCATGAATGCCTGCCTACATCCATAAATTTATGATTAACAATAAGAACAGCAAATTCTATAAACTTGCATCTGTTTTGAACATTTTTGTAAACAGTGCTTTTGCCAATCTTAATTATTTATCAGTTATAACATATCTTTTTTTTTCACAATATTGTTGCTTTGTGTATGAATCAATTGTAACTTGGGGGACTGCTAGTTAATTTCTTGATTTTCAGGTCTAGGTTTTAAAACTATTTGAGACAACAACAACTACAGTTAGTTTAACATTTTCAAGCATGCCCAGTAATTGTACTTTTAGTTTGAAAATAACTAAATAGCAGCTAATTAAGCTGTGTCCTCTTGTTACATCATTAATTAAGATAGAGCTTTTAGCTCAAAAAAGACTTGATTATTAGAATTATTTTCAGGCTGAAGAATGATTAGTGAAATCTATATGATGAACCATCTGACTGTTGGATTATTGTGAAGGACTGTGTAAATAAAACATGAACCACTTCTCATTGATGAAAATCATCATGCTTTTCAGTCTTTTTAATGATGGAAACATACCAAGGTTACTGTGAACTTTCATTGATTATCCTTGTGAAGTACTCAGTTTCTATTAATTCTGAAATTAGTGTTTTCTAGTGGTAACATCCATTTCATACAGGAAATGAAATAAAACATTGAAAGCATACATTGTTTTCTTTATAATAGAATTAATGCCACTGTAAATTATCCACAAGAACCAAATTCAAAAACAGCTTTTTGATTTTTGATAAGTCTACAAATCTTTCATATGTTTTAGGCTGAGCATAATCATTGGTTAACATGGTGGGCTGTGGGAAGGATTTTTAGGTTTGTGTCCCATTGTTGCCAAAAGGAAAAAAATAACACTCCTTACATTATAAAGGTAATAATCAGATACCACTGTTTGGTCTGATAAGGTTTGTAGGTGGATGTTGTTGATCATTTGTCTTCTCTCTAGTCTATTAGGGATGGATAGTGCAGTAGCTTTGTGCAAAATTGAACAGACAAGCAAACAAACCTAAAAGCTTTGAATCTCGTACAAGTCATTCCCAAGTTTTATGAAACGTTCTAAAATTTTTGAATATCCGGGTTAATTTCTAAATTAATAGTTGAATGGATTTTTATACTCAACCTGTGTATCTCACTTTTGCAGTATATTTTAGTTCAGTTACATTTGAAATTTTGTTGTTTTGTTTTGCAGATTTTGTGTTTATGACACATTACAGTCACAAACTCTGCAAATATGTACACTAATCAACAATATTAAGTTCTTGTTTTCTTTCTTTTTATAAGGCCAGCAAAAGCTGCCATTTCATCGAAAAGTACATGTGAGGGAAATAGGGACCCTGAGTGACAAAGATAAAAAGTGCTTGCAGTGTATTGATGATTGTGTTGATAAACTTGAGGTAAGGACGTTCACTTTTGTATAATTTTGTGTGTAGATCAACCCTTTCCAGACAAGAGGAATGCTATTGGTAACCCATGATTTTTGTTTCTCACTTCTTTTATTTCTAATAAAACTTACTGAATAGTGTCTTGTTTCAGTTATGTTGTGAAATTTCCAAAATCTTGTAATGAGGCACTGTTTTGATAAAACATCAAAACTACTTGCTTACATCTTAGAATTTCAAGTTTTTGTTAATCAAAAGCTCCATTTTATATATCCAGTCAGTTTCAACTTGATGGATATTCATTAATATATTTCTTTTGATGTTTTATTTGCTGATTGCAGAAGTCACCAATTCCAGCTGTAAATTTTAAAAATTACAACAGAAACTGACAAATATTTATTGTTGACTTAGGATCTAACTTTTCATAGTGGTATCGCCATTAACTTTTTCCAGCTAGGTAATACTATTTTTGCTAACAATAGTCTTCATTTTGATCAGTTTATATCTAATAAATAAGTTTATTTTTGATGGATAATATATTCTTTTATCTTATATTTATATGCCTTATTTGAATTTTTGAATGTTAAGTCATAGGTTACCAATAAGTCTGTCAGTTTTTGTCCTGTTTTTACGTTTTATAGCTGGAAGTAATTACTGCTTCACTTGGCAAAATAAATTATCAAATGGAATGTGTTAATGAATGCCAAACAGATTAAAAATGACTGAATGTGTAAAATGATTTTTTCTGATCAATATTAAAATGGTAACAATGAAGTAATTTTAGCATTTTTCAAAGTAGTGTCTCACAACAAACTTTTGTGAAATTTTCCAAACTAAAAAAGTTACAGGAATACTAACTCAAATTAATTTTTAAGCAGAAACTAGAATCTGTAATATAGTTTATTTTTGCTGTGAGAAAGGGAAAATCAATGATTACCATCAGTCCATGATAGTCCATCAAAAACAGAATGTTCTGTTGAAATTATGGATTGAATAATAAATATGTACCAGTATGTTTTGAATTTGTATTAAAAATTCCTTAATATTCATCATAAATAATAAGTCATTCATCAAGATATCTGGGTATGCATAACCCTCGACATTAAGTATAGGTTGTTCATTAGCATTTAGAATTCTCTAGTTTTCGATAAACTTCACTAAAACATTAATCGGTAACATAGGCTCTTTGGATATCCATAACCCTCAGCATTAAATGTAACTTATTCTTTAGCACTTAGAATCCTCTCGTCATCCATGAACTTCACTAAAATATTAATCAGTAACATAAGGTCTCCGGACCTCCATAAACACCAGTATGAAGTTTAGTTCAATTACTAGTATACAAGCTCTCTGGATCTCCATAAACTCTGATATGAAGTGTTGGTCATTTATCAGCATACAAGCTCTTGGGATTTCCATGTACTCTGATATAAAGTATAAATCATTTATCACTATACAAGCTCTTAGGATATCCATTAAATCCAGTATATGTAGTATAGGATAGTCATTGACTTTACAAGTTTTCGTGGTTTATATATATAAATATATATTAATCATAGTGTAGAACTCAAGACCAGATTTAAGTTATCATTTGACATTATAATGTTTTAAAGGTTTGAAAATTATTAATCAAAGTAGTGTGTGTTATTTCTATGAAAGTAAATAGAATAACAACCTATATTTCCAAATGTATCTTTATTATTTCATTATTTTGCTCCTGACAAAGCTGTAATAGTAAAATATTGAGCTAATAAAGATACATCCTGGTGATATAAGTCATTATTTTATTTACCTCACTAGAATTTTATTGTAATAAACTTCAGTTTTCCTTAAACAAAGTTACAAATAATAATGTGTTATTAGTAAAATAACTTCTGCTTTATGAAAAAAATTTGAAGTTATTTAAACTTCTAATATATGTCCTTGTAAAAAATATATGGTTTTAATTCTTTTGATAAATGTGAACCTATATATGTATCAATTTGTAAATTTTGTATGTTCAACTCATTTAATTGTTAACCAGTGTTTCTAGTGCTTCTAATGTAATGACTTATTTTTAAATATGTTAGTAGTATAATTATTAGAACATGTCTTAATTCTTTTTCAGCTTAGAATATATAATATGATTTCTTCTCCTGACATTGAAGATGCACTGTTGAACTTACGCCTGTGTGGGATGAATATATGAACTTGCATGTGATAGTAGAGAGTTCATGCTTGTATATAGTATTAGCCTGTTGTTGATTCCATGAAGAGTATTTTTTCATAGCTTCACACATATTTTCAGGAGAAAATATATGCTTCAAATATTACAGGGATTCATCAATCAAACCACAACAGTTTTTTGTTCCCATATTCCATTAATGATGATGTCAGTGTTTTTGAAGTATGAAGTATCATTATATACCAGAATTTTTTAAAAAGACAAGGTATAGTAAGATGAAAATTTAAATTTCTTAGACTTGTGTGTGTAAATAGAATTAGTTAAGCACATGTTCTAATCAACAAAAGAGACAGTCATGTAAAAAAAAAAAAAAATATTCATTTTAGGGTAAAATAATTTTATTTTTCCAGTTTGTTTGGTATTATTCTGCAGGGAGCAAAAAAGTATAATAATCTTTGTATGTATTTAAGGTATGTTGTCCATCAGTTCTACATCATGTATGCCATCCAGAACAAAACTAACTTAATAAAATTTCTATTGCAGTGTTGTTTTCTGTGGTTTTTTGTGAAATTAAAGTTGCCCATCTCCCCATAAGGGGGCTGAAGGCCACCTGGAGGGATCACCTGTTTTAACCACTCATTATCTGGTGATTAACTGTGGTTTTTTCATATCAAAGAGAAAATGCCATTTTCTTAAAAAGTTTGTTAGTTTTTGAAAATATTATTACCTTCTGTTTAAAACATAGGTTCATGAACAGTTAATTCTTAGTCATTCTGGCAAATTACAATAACTGTCAAGGAAGACATTTCAGAAACTTTTTCTGACATAAACTTTTAAGTGCACTAGTTAGTTAAATCCTTTTTGTGTTTTAAAAGTACATAAGGTCCGTGCTTAACTCTGCTTTACTGGAGACACGTGGACAGTAATGTTTTCATCCCCTCCATCCTTAAAAGGCTGACAGTCAATTGCAGGATAGACTGAATCTAGATTTGAGTAAAATGTCTTGCATATTAAAGGTTATGCTCACAACAAAGCATAACCCTGTCACACCGAAAGTATGGCATAAAGAGTGGGGTACATTTATGCAGAATCACTAAAAACTGGGGTACAGACCTTTAACCTCTGGATGAACTCTGTTAATTCCTGATTAATTCAAATTAAATATGCTTTATTTTAAGTTCCTTTAAGCACACTAGCATTACTTAATAAAACAATTATACTTATAGAGATCTTTGGTTTACCACATCTTGTACAGGTGCTAGAGTTCTGTAATTTGGACACCAATTGTTTAAAATAGTATTTCATCTATATGCAAAAAATACTGGAGGCAAGAAAAAGCGTAGGATTATCTGTGTAAGTTTTGAGATAATCAGTGGTATAGTAAGAGGTAAAAGTCAATGGACGATGGACCCGCCTTCAAAGTTTTGCCATTACATTCAAGAGAATAGGCAAGTTCCCATAGTCATATTTGATGGGTCTAATATTTGCAAGTTTAGTTTACGCTATACTGCAGACCCGTAGCTATATATATACTCCACAATAATAAATTTTGTTTGACCCCGACCACGCAGTCTCATGGAATGTCTGCAAGACTGCATTAGTATTACCAGCAGGTTGATCCTGATCACAGTCAGGGCTCAGGGGGTGTCGGCAAAACTTGCGTCAGTCCTTTGATAACCTGCTGCCAGTTTTACCGGCAGGTGGCAACAGACTGACCCTGATCACACTGTGTCAGGGTTCAGGGGATGTGGGTCTCTTTGGTGACCTGAGCGAGAATTGTCATGTCTGATATCCAATAAATTGCCATGGTAGTGACGTTTTTCAATATTTAGCTACAGGGTAGGTATCCAGATATTTTAGATAAAGCTGCTGACAAACCTGATGACTTTTATTAGAACTGAAAACTAAGTGTAATAAGTAGTGTGAAATTGTGAAGTGAATAAAAAACTTGTAAATTCGTATACATATGCTGAATGAATAAAGAAAGAATTATGTTATTCTTTTTTGAGGGAGGGACTAGTCCCCACCACCGCGGATGCCCATGCCTATTGTATCTTAACTAACATGGTCGTTTTTTTATGGCGAAGATTGGTTCTTTATCAAAATACCTGTTGGGAGGTGTTACAGTACGTTTCTGCAATTGTGTATTTAATAATAAAAAATATTTTATATGTAGGGCTAGCACGAAACAGGTTTGTATATAAATGTAGAAAACCATATTAACTACAGGTTTGCTAGTTAAGTGATAGGGGGTGTATAAAACATGTAGAACACTACTAGAAAACTTAAAAAAATAAGTAAACGGCATCGAATGATGATTTTGAAAGTATTTATTACGTTTGGATTTTTACATACTCTCATCGATTAATAAAAGTATTATAACTAGATACTAACCGTTAAAATTTAAACTGAAAATCATGTTCAACATTCCGTGATGCGTATTACTGAAAATAGTCTTTGTGTTTCTGTTTATCGTGTTTTATCTCGTGGATATGTTGAAATGGACGAAGGTAATATTGAACATGCAATTTGCAGTGATAATACTGCATTCTTAAGGTTAGCTAAAATCTACTGTTTCGTAACCACCTATGGTCGATTTTCGTAAATGTGTTCTGCATATGCTTTGGTACACCTGTATCAACTAGCAAAGCTCTACATGTATACCAAAACTTTTTCAGGCACGATCATTTTCCGCTGATTTTCGAATTTTATTAGCCGCCAAAGGTCATTTCAGTGAAACATAATCCCCTTAAGAAAATACATGGGTAGGGGGTTGAATTTAAACGGTCTGTATTTATTTCAAAATTAGCAAAATCAGAGCATAAAATCATAATTTCATTGACCGGATTCACGCTGTGAATTGTTGAATATTTCCTGTTAGTGAAATACATGTATATGATTACACATGTTTACGTAGATCAGTCGACAATATGGATAAAGTTATTAGTCTTAAAGAGATTGAGAAATCTGTTAAAAACAAGCTCAATTGGATATGTTTGATAAACTGTTAGTGTCATGGTAAACTGTGGAGTAAATGTTCGAAATGTGACGTAAACCTGGAGAGTGAATGTCGCCGGGAAAGTACTGTGTATAGACTTTAAAGACTTGATAAATTACGCCTCGCGAATTGTTATGACAATAGAATGAAACAGTAAAACATAAAATAAGCTACAAACCAAAAACCAATTAACTGTTCTATGTCTGGTGCTTCAAAGTCCACGGTGTCAATCCAGACGGAGTACTGAATCGTGTTTCTAAGAGATGGATGACGTCATCAAATCCACTGCACCCATTTGTGATAGTATGTATTTAATATAATATTCAACACGTCTTGTTTTAATCTCTTAATGTAAAAAGCTTATTTTCAGTAATTGTGATATTTATCGATTAGCGTAAAACCGATTAAAATAGATGGTCTTCATAAAAATATTGATGTTTTAACTTTTTTAGTTTAGTTATTTGAGTTAGCATAACACGAATATAAGGTCTAGGTATTAAAGATAAACACATAAATTGAACATGTAGAAGTTCATGTATGTTTACAGTAATCTGGTAATTACCTGTTTCCATAGTTAATTTCAGTTTCATGTTAATAAACTTGTCAATTCACTTTTTATGCCAATATAATGTTTTATTGTTGGGGGTTTGTTTTAAATTATATAATGAAAAAACATCTAGCCCACGTAATTATCAAAAATGAGTATATTTCCTCCCTTAACGTTTCTACAAGCTTGTACACTGTCTTAAGTTTTTGCAGGCCTGTATTATAAATGATATACAAACCTCTAGTAATACAATGATTGATGTAAAATTAACTTGAACAGAGTAACTCAACAAGCGCGTAGTTAATTAGGTCCAAATACAAAGGTTGTCCGAAAAGTGCGTGTCTCGACCTAAACAAAAATTTGAATGTGTGATTTTTTTCTAATATTTATATACATTTTGTGTTTGAACGTTTTTACGAGTAAACAACACGTAACATAACTAGCTTATTCTGAGTATTGCGGGTTTTCGAATGGAGGAAGTGAGAAGTGTTAAACGTCATAGAGAAGATCGAACTTCGTGCCGCGATCAAATATTTTTTTAGAAAGGAAGAGACACCAAAAGAAGTCCACCAGGACGTAGAAGCAACATTAGAAGAAGATGCTCTGGCATATTCAACAGATAATAAAGTGTGCTGAGTTTAAGTGCGGTAGACAATCATGTGAAAATAATCTGAAGTCGGGTCGACCACAACAAATTGTAGATAAAGTTCATGATTTGATTATCTATGATAAAAAATTACCATTAGGAAGTGAGAATCGGTAAAATAATTGCTGCAAGTATTTTGAGTGACAGTTTGGGCATGAATACAGTTAATGTCAGATGGGTTCCCAAAATGTCACCTGCGTAGAAACAGATATAAGTTATTGAAAGCCAATGTCTACACCAAAGGTTTCAATAGATTCGTAACTATGGGTGAAATGTGGGTTTACTACTTCAGCTCAGAGACAAGAAAGCAAAGTTTGCAATAGAAACACCCAAGTTCACTAACCCTAAGGACGTTCAAGTCACAATCCTTTGCTGGGAAGATCATAGCATCAATTTTTTGGAATGCAAAGGACGTTTTGCTGGAATATTTGGAAAGGGGTCAAACCATTACAGGAGATTACTGTGCATCCTTAATCAACACTTTGCAACAAATAAGGAAAAGAGAAAAGGATTGCTCCAAAAAGGGTTTGCTCTTCCATCAGGACAATATCCCAGGTCCCAAATCACTTGTTGTTTTGAACGATATCCATGATGCTGGCTTGGAATTATTCAATCGTCCCCTTACTCGCTGGATTTAGCTCCAAGTGACTTTTTTCTCTTCCCTAGCCTTAAAATCTTTCTGAAAGGTCGAAGATTTCAAAAGGGCATAAAGACCTTAGAGCTTTGCTGGTACAAGCGTATAGACTCTGGAGGAGATTGTCTTTTATTTACAGATCAGGCCACGGACTTTTCAGACATCCCTTGTACTTTAGAAAAAAACACATTGACTGATTCAACTTCCTATCTCTAAACTATCTTCTCTCCACCTCTATTTATAACCACTTTTAGAATATACTATAAAACTTGGTGTCAAATGTTAGAACTTTCTAGGTCTGGCTTTATGTCGTCAGTATGTTCCACAGTTCCCCAGTTAACAAACAAATTACAATATTAAAAATGTAGCTTATAAATATAATAGTAAGATGTTATGATGAAGATTATGGAAATATTGCATTGGTACTTTTGTATTAGATTAGACTATTTAAAAATTCTCGCACGTAAACTTAAACTGCTACGTTTTCCAAATATTAAATTCATAATTATTAATTGCTTTAATAACACAGGCCTGCAAATTTAAACTTCATAAAAGTTGTTTTGGTTTTAGTAACGGGTTTTCCAAAATTCAGCTATGCAGATTTCAAAAATAGTAAATTTTTTCTATGACTTAAGGATTTTACAAATCGGGAAAAAAAAACTCTTACATAGATCAAATCATTATTTCGTTTACCACCATGAACA